CCCATATTTTCTATAAAGGTTGATCCCTGTACCCATACCCTGTCACTCTTATAGTACAAGCTCCATTGTTATTTATAAAATTATATATTAACTGTAATACGCCCGCTGGTGGATATAATCCACATCACCTCGACCCGCGCGGCGGAAAAAAAATGTATAGCACTGGGCCCGATGGGCCCTCCCTGCTGCTAGACGCAAAATATGTCCTCCTCGGGTAGCGCCCTCGGGGAATATGAAATATTGCCACGCGCGTGCGCGTGCAATATTTGTTCAGCCGCGAAGTCTCCGGTGATATTGTATATATATTGATTAACGATTATCACCGTCCACATTAAGAAATAATACCAATTAGTATCTACTCTCACTTATATAACATGTTACTGTGTAAAGAGATATTCTATAGCACGTTCTTGATTCCTTAAGCCGCTCTCAAATACTATATCTCTATAATTTGAACCTGGAACAGTGGAAATGTGACTAATTTAACAAAATACAACCAATAAAATGGCAAATAATATTAATAACAAAATATAAAGCAATTAGCTCGCAGGGGTTAAATCAGAGGTGTTAATTAAAAGAAGCATAATGCCTATCGAGCTAAAGTGAATTGCTAAATGAATGTACTTAATTTAAGGTAATAAAAAAACAACACTTTATCCTATAAGTATAATAAGATGATACAGCTTTCGAGAATTGAGAAGTGTAGAAGTTTGTCATCTTGCAAATGAAACCACCAATCCGTTGTGGAGGCAGCTCGCAGGGTGGTACCATTGTGAAATACAACCGAGCAGTGAGCACCGTCATAACTGAATTCTTCGATCCGTGATCGCATTCCTTCTTTTTAATCTCATCTCCTAAATTCTGTGTTAAGGTTTAAAAAAAGCAACTGTCGAAATGTACCGGTATTATGTCAAATCATAGATCGAGATGGCAAAATTAACCGACACATCTTAACAAAAACACCCCACCTTATCCGCCTACGAGAAATTAGACCAACATCCTTATTTGCGTCATACCACCTAGGCCTGGTCAATATTATATATAAAGAGGCTTCATAAAACCAAAACTATATCCAAATAATTTTTGACGTTGATTGATCATGCTACGTGTCATATGCAATGTGCGTATCTTGACAATTCCAACACGCTTCAGGTTTGTTATATAAAACTAGTGTCCTAAACAGAAAACATTCTTCTTTAAATTTTGACGGAAAATGACTTTATGTGAAGAAAAAATCAAATATTTTAACCCGACTATCAAACACTATCGTCTTCAACGGCGAAGTTTTCTTTCTCTTAGTAGTATAGGGCGGCTGACTGGTGCGCGATTAAAGGGGGTGAGTGAGAAAGGTGCGTGAGACGGTTGTTTGCTGACCGAGGGGATTGAGAGAATGAGTGGGTTACTGCGTTTTGATGCTAATTTTCTCGCCTGGTCAAGTTTATAAAAGTTACCAGTTTTTGAGGAACTAACTTGCCATGCTTCACTAAAAGTAACCATTTTCGATATACACTGCCTGCTCAATAAAAGTTACTAGTTTCATGTACCTTATTCTTCAAGGATAAACTAATATTTTCCAGTTTTCACGCTACTTTCCCTATTTTGATAAAAGTAACCAGTTTTTTTTTATGAAACTTTCTCGCCATATCCAGTGTTCACTTTTCTCGTTTCATCGTGATTTTTGTTTATGAACTATTATTGCAGGTGGAAACTTTTGGTGTAATGAAAGGTAAGCCTAGAAGCTACATATTGCCCATATGTAGCCCTCAGTTTTGTTGAAGATCCAAATCACCCGAAAAGCACAAAACCCCTACCCGACATTTTGTCGTTTCTGAACTCGTATATGAATTTCCATCAGATTAGAAAAGAAATGGTGGAGTGTGCGCCAAAAACCATTGCCCATGTTTGGGCATATGTACAAAATTCACTGCCCACATAATCTTCAGCAGCGAAACAAACAACGCGGTTCTTTAATGGCGCTAACTTAAAGGCGTGACAATCACTTTACGATATACAGTAACACCGATTACAGTATTTTGATTACAGTACTTTGGATTACAGTCTGCCACTCGACTTCACGAAACGTGCTGTAAGCCGTTTAAGGGGCAAATTTTGACTTATAGCAGCTGCTACTATTAAGACTTATTATTATATGTTAACGATATCTACCGGACCATTAAGCGAAATAATCACAATTAGTAATTACTCACACTTATCTAACATTGCTTACCTGTTTAAAGAGATAGTCGATAGCACGTTCCTTGATTCCTTTAGCCGCTTCTCAATTACTATAACTCTAAATTTGAACCTGGAAAGTGGGAAATGTGACTACTTTAACAATATAAAATGGCCAAATAATATTAATAACAATATATAATAGCAAATTAGCTCGCAGGGGTTAAATCGAGGGGTTAATTAAAAGAAGCTAATGCTATCGAGTAATCCACTGCATTGCCTACTAAATGAATGTAAATTAATTTAAGGTTCTAAAATAACAACCTTTATCCTATAAGTATAATATGATGATACAGCTTTGAGACTTGCAGAAGTGTAGAAGTCTGTCATCTTGCCCAAAAGAACCACCAATCGTTGTATGAGCAGCTCGACAGGGCTGGTACCATGTGAAATTACACCGAGCAGTGAGCCACAGTCCTAAATGAATTCTTCGATCCGTGATCGATCCTTCTTTTTAAATCATCTCCTAAATATTGTGTATTAAGGGTTTAAAAAAGCCAACAATGTCGAAATGTACGTATATTACATGCTCAAATCATAGATCAAGATGGCAAATCTAACCGACACATCCTTAAACAATACACCACACCTAGAACAAATAGATAAATAAACACGAACCAAATAGGACAATAAATTGAACATTGATAATCAAAACATACATTCACCAACACACGTGCAACAACATACAATCACCAACTCACGATAAACACCGGAACGAAACTACAATATAATGTAACCGTATAATAGTGAATACTAATTGGCCGTATTCGCGAATATAGTCGTTTGAGTGTACGTGGTTAGTTTAGGCGCCAAACATCGAGTGATAAACAAAATAAATGTATTGTCTATTATATGACACACTTGGAAAAGTGGACTGCCGTTTGTACAGCAGTGTTCAAGAACTCTATCCAGCTCAGTCCTGTTAGGTCTGTGCTATGGCAACGGGGGACGCGGTTACTAAGGAGAATTATGATAGTGTAAGAACTAAGAAGGAATCATTATTATGCGTTAGTTTGAGGAAGGCCTAGATGGAATATACTAGGCAAAACTGTGCCGTTGTATGAAATATGCAGTTAATTGACTATTGAGGACACTTTTTAGTTTAATGATGGAAAAGGTTGCCCGACTGTTTCGCAGTTTATAGGCCTTGGGTTTGGGCCTTTGGAGGTTATAACGATTTTACCGTAGAAGCTTGTTAGCTTATTTATTATACTCTCAACCGTACCCGCATGTGCAGTTTTTACATCTTGAATAGCTGGGTACATTGTTACATTTATATTTGCTAAGACAAACAGGCCGGAACGGTACATTTGAAATTAATTAGTGACAACTGAAAACAATGCAGCTATCAGTAAAATCGTGCTGATAGGGGTAACATGAGCTCTGTCCGACAGCACTTTTTTTGTGTTTGAAGTGATATTTCAAATTTGGGCACATAGAAATTCACCCAAACTGCACAAATTATTTGACTTAAAGCCTATCTTACTAACCAGAGTTTAAAATTATTCTGCCATCCTTACATTATGCGGAAGGAGCCTATAACACTTACCTTATTTTAATAAGCTCCCATGTAGGTACACATTGATCTTACATTGTTAATAAGCTCGAATAATTTTACCGGGGCGGCTTACCTTTTTCACTAAATCCTTCTAGGAATCTGGGTGGAATGATAAAGCACAAGTGCGTTGCTAAAGACGCTGATAAACCTGATATAATGTTGTTACACTGTACAGATATGTGAAAACATTACATTCACCAACTCACGATAAAAACGTGAACGAATTGTACCGTAGAAGCTTGTCATAAACAAAGCCACATGCAAGGAGTAACAACGCTAAAAGATTTACAACAGTTTAAGAATGGCAACTTAGAATTTAAATTATGTACAAAAATTTGAATTCCGATTAACCAGTTGTTTTGATTAAACAGTTCCAAGCAGTCATCATGACAAGAAACCATAAAAATCGTGTCTATGAAATCAGGTATGAGGTAGCAAGAAATAAAGCGAGCTCCTAGGCCATATTCTATCTCAGAATCAGTATCACTATCAAAAAATATTCTACGACAGAATGATCAGGCTTAGATCCCGAAAAACAAATTATTTAACGGCAGTTAATTCCTCTGAACATTAATCACACGTTGTGCATTGATTGTTAAGTCTAATCGGACTATTAAGAAACACAGAACAGGGATCATGTGCTACTTAAAACAACGAAATAACTGGGACCAGTACAAATGAGTAAAAATATATTTTATTAATTATCTTAGTTCATTATAGTCTGATTTAGTGACTCTCTGATCAAACCTTCACCAGATAGGAAGTAGGAGGCTTCGCTCATAAAAGTAAAAAGTAGACGCATCCGTATGTAATGACAGATATACCAAACATTCAAATCATCACATTCACAACTAGTTTGAAAAGTTCTCCTCTAACACTGTGCAAACAACAACACTATTTTATGAACAACAATATTTGGATGGGGTAGTCGGCATTAGATAGCTAAATAAAGAACTAAAATATGGCGACCGCAGAATGATCGTAGAAATCACATCTAATATGATAGCCACAATATATAGTTTTGAACTAGGCGAAATCGAAAGCGTTGTAAAAGTGAAACGGCGATGCACTGCAACTTTTTAAATTTGATCTGATGTTATCTTATACGAATACAGTTTTGCATGATACTTTTTTGGATCGTAATTCACATTTTAGATTGTGACTGGTTTTTGTCTTAGTTTATATAAACAAATGTAATTTTCAGATCTACCACGCAGCTCTGATAAGCGGACCTAAACACGTTAAAACGACGGGTGGATACTTCCACATGGCCAACGTCTTCTTCAGAAAAGGTCAAACAGAAACGGCTCACAACATCTACTCAGAAGTTGTCAACATTTGGAGTGAAATGTTAAAAAGTGTGGTAAAGTTGGAAGAACCTCAGCCTGAGTCTACTCTGACGAGTTTTGTAGAGAAATCGGCTGAAGAGGGTGAAATGTTAGGTTAGTCAACAACAAGACACAAGTTGCACTTTAATATTTTACTTGTTGTTTACTTTCTCTGTGGAATTATGTTTATTTCGGCCAGTCGCAACTTGAAAGTGTATTAGTTGTAGCGCGCATAGACATTACAATAATGAAATTTTTCACGGACATCCACTTCTATTATTTTGACATGGAAACGAATGCGCGGCGTCGGCCAAATGCCAGATTTATTTTCAGATCTTTCCGCAATATCTATTGAAATCCACGTAACTTATTATTTTTTAGGTGATTTACCATATATAATTTCCCAGATGAGGCTCAAGAAGCTGAAGCAATACAGATGCTACACGCGATATACGATTTACAGCAAAGCAACTCAAACTATGGGGCAGCAAACATGGTCATGCTTTTACACACGCTCGCCCTTCTTCATACTCATCTGATGGGATACCCAAAGGTTAGTCATTTTGCGTTGAATTATATTGAATAATTTTTCCTGAATCAAGAGTGCAATATGCAATAGGTAGCCCCTATGAATGTTCACTCTGTGATATTGCTTGTTCATTCATTATAGTATTACAAACTTTCGATTTATACGGCTGTGAACTTTTGTTATGTATCATAAAAATGTTAATTCCGCATATTTTCAGGCTCAAGAGTTTGCTCAAGACGCTCTCACTTGTGCCAAAGAGAATGAGCTGGTCATAGACGTGTCAGAAGTGGAGAACCTCAACAGTTTCATCTCTGCAAAAGCATAAATATCAAGGAACTGAAGATTTCATTTTATATCCTCGATCAGATTCATTATAATCATGCCATCGAAGCAAAAGCTCAAAAAAAGTTCAGCCTAAACGAGCGTTCTTTGATTGAGAACGGCTAAAAATTTTTAGATGAGCGAGGTTTTATTTTGGATTTATTGTAAAAATGTTCCTTTTTTATGGTAATATTGAGTGGTGTCTAGAAGAAGCCTGATAAATATTCCAATACGAGAACTTCGTCAATCAAAGTTCATTGTGATACGATTTTTAGACCAACTTGTAAATACATGATGTAAATTGTAAATTATTTTTCATTACGTAGAATTTAGGAAATGATCTGTTTTAATTTGTTCGTGCATCCTCAAGAGTTGATGCTCTCCTTATCTAATACTCAAGTTTATTGACCCGTCAAATTCGCTCCAATTAACATTACTAACCTTGTTAATTATTCACCTTACCCATGGGAATCGCTCAATATCCTATAAAGTTTCTAATTAAGATCCTATAAACCACATAAATGTGAAGTTGAAGTGATTAACGTCTTCATCTCCCTGTAATTTCCTGTTAAAACCTTACAACTACAAGAATCAACTTAGCTCTGATTAAATACGCACACTGAGTTTAGCTCATCTGTCACGTAAAGGCGCATTCAGTTTCTTGTCAATCAATCTGGTATTTTTTATAATTTAAGATTATATAGCAACTTCGGACTAAAATCTTTTTTGTCATTTTGCTACTCTAGTTTAATGTTCTGAACTTTTAAATTTTAATTGTTTCCAAACAGTCACCATTGATATTACACACAAACGGCTAATTTTTATCTTCACTTCAAGATATTTACAAAAGATGAAGAAGATGGATAGAAGATATCAGCCATTCTGCTTATAATATCCCTATCCACTACCCTATCTTTACCCATAGGTCACGGTCTAAACGGAGACGTGATGGGTTTGGCTTTATCTTCTTCAGATGAAACGTTCCAGTCGTTAGGCTCGGTGGAGGATGACGTCTCACCATTACGTTCAGATGATGAATTGTCACGTGGTATGAGAGATGTAGAGGAGAAATATACATATGATCTTCTCTGGCGATAAGTTTCAATATAAGTATCAGAAAATTTAACCCAGCTTTAACAGATGTTTAAGTAGATGAAGTTAATATTTTTATCTGAACCGGACGAAAACGACATATTTATTTTTAATCATTATTAATGTTTAGGATTCTATTAATATATAGGAATGTTGAGATTTGAGAATGAGGAATTTTTAACGTACGAAGTCAAATTTATTATTAACATGAGCTCCTTAAACCAGCTCAAATCATAGCTACCCCCTACTATAGTGGGTAATATTTCAGCTCTATTAACTTATCAATCAAGTAATAATTAATCATGAGTTTATATTTATACATGATTCACGTCCGAAAATGTTTTTTCTCTTGTCGCTAATATACATGATGAATGTTTATTGTTTATTTGTAATCATATCATGTATTCTTATTTAACATATTATAGGCCCCTTCCAGCCATTGCCACCTGCCACCTAATTTGGCAGGTTTTACATTAAGGCTGATAATCAATTTGAAGTCTTAAAATGATTCCTGCAAAATTAACCGAAATCCTGCCTATTTATCGTATTCGCGCAGAGATGTATCTCACGTAATCATTTAATCGAGTTGTTGATTTATAGAAAAGCCTGCAAAATTAAGACAAAACCTGCCTCACCTTTCACCTACCCTCAGCAGGTTTGCTCTATTTTGGCAGGTTTTCCGTTAAATATAAAGTCGAATGCTGCATATTTAACGCAAATCCTGCGTAAGTTGAGATAATTCGAATCAACTTGTGGCGTGATTAAACCTATATATTGGCAGGCTTTTGGATAATTAGAGTGTACAATGTGGAATAGGTACTAATACTAAGATCGTATAACCTTATTACTAGGTAAGTAGGTAGGGAGTAGGACTGAGACTTGGGTTGTGCAAAGCTACATAAGTACAGAATGCTACATGGCTCTATAGTTTGCACTTTTATACAATCAGTCACTAGTCAGTGGCGAAACGACCGCCCGACACCCCGGCTATACCCCTGCTATGCGGAAGTGGGATGGGGGGGGGTGCAGCTGCGGCCTCTTAGGTACGTTTCGCCACTGCATATTATCCACTGTTACCAACACGGGGTCTATAATAAGTTTGAGTATAAAAGTATAAAAACCGATTATTGGAAAATAACTGTTTGCTTAACTTCAGTTCTTAGGTTGCCATTTTTAGATACATTCCTTGACTATGCCATAGGTCAAAGAAATAATAGGCTTATCATGTTGCAAAATCATTCGGTGACAGCATTTTCCTGTCCCAAACAGTACAGGAAGCGCTACTTGGAAACTCCATCGGAAGGTTCACTGCCGTCAGAGGAAGTTGACAGCATTGTTAAAGAGCTTGCCGTTACCTTAGCTGATGGGCCAAAGTACGTTGTTATTTCTAGCAAGACAAGCAAAAGCAACACAGACCTCACAAAACTGTTGTCAGCGGTAAATATCACAAAAGCCCAGCCTAGGCGCACCACTAGGACATTAGGACAAAATACAAGGAAGAAACTGGCTATCGACCCGTCATGAACACGCAGGTTATCCAAGACCCTAAAGATAGAATTATATTTTTCGAAAATGACTTGTTCATGTTTAAAAATGCTGACGGCACAAACAGTGTCCTGATAATCGTGGAAAATATTTCACAGAACGATTTTATTCTCCATAAGGCTGTCGTTGGCAAACTCGTCCAAGAGTGCCACGACCATGCTGACTGCTTTCAGTTAATAGATTTAGAAGAAAAGTGTGTCAGTGTTGAGGAAGATGCGCTTATATCTTATATTTATAACTGATCGAACAAGCTTGGTCAGGTAATGGGTTGTCCACGTTATTCTGTTAATAGATGTTACAGGGTATCAGGCTCATTTATGCATGATTTTTACAACCTTGTCAATGTGTAATGGTATAACACTGGTATAATACTGGTATAATACTGGTACAATGTTTAAGTTATATTATTAATTAGGTGTTTTTTGCAGTTTGCAGGTAACTCTTCGTAGTATTTTAAATTCAGTTCTCAAAATCCTAAAATACGATTGTTTTACTTTTTCTAACTTAAGAGGTGTATTGATTTGAAATGAAATTAAAAGATTGCCATAGTTGTCGGAACTTTGTGCATCATTACGCCACAGGAGGTTCAATTTTATTGCATGGCCAGTCAATTGGTGGGACAGTACTTTTCAATACAAATTTAGATTTAGAAGTACGTATGACACCGTAGAATTGAAAAGTACCTTATCGGACCTTATTTGGACGGACATTACTTGAACGCTGGAGGCCCTAGCGTTCATTTTAATGTCCGTTCAAATAAAGTCCGTTCAATTAATGTCCGTCCAAGTTAAAAGTCCGTTGAATTTTTTTCAAAAATTTTTTCATTTCGAACTTTTTGTCCAGAATATGACAACTTTTTAATTTCAGCCAGTTCCAATAGTTAACATTAGACTAAACTATGTTGTTGAATTGATAAAAACAATGTATTATAAAATTTTAACAATCTGAATTATAAATATCACATTATTGCATGTCGCATGATCACTATCTTGAAGTTGATATTCGGCTTCTTCTTATACCTCCACATTTTCTCTTAGTCTCTGAGTCTTACAACTGGTTGTCTGTCCAACTCGTAGTCGTACCGGGCAATGAACGATCCCAACTGCTCTACTAGAGAGATACTTGAATGCCTAAAGTACATCTTAAGCTTTATCTCTAGCCCCCCACTGGCCCACTTGGTATAGGCGACCTTCGGTGGCTTATGTCAGCTACGATACCTTCTACCATACGTTACCACCCATCTCGATAAAGTAGAAGACAAACCGGGTTATCTCCCTAGGTATGTGACCGACTAGGAACCGACCGGATATCCTGCTGAATTCGGATCCGGCCGGATATCCGGCTTCAATATCCGGTTCCGGCTCCGGTCCGGTTTCAGAAAATTTGCCGGATTTTTCCCAGATATTTCTTCAAAAAAATGTATTTCTAAAATCTAGAAATGCATATTTTTCTTCCCTTTTTAACTCAAATCTTTTGAAAAATCAAAAATGTTTTGATTAAGTGCGGAATTCAAAAAACCGAACAAATATTTTCGGATAATAATGAACATGGTAGCATGAAACGTGGAGAAAAGTGATTTCCAGAAAACTTTGAAAAAGTTTTGACTTAGAACATTTTCGGTCCGATACGTACCTCCTATATCGATACGTACCTCCTATATCGAGAGCTCCCGCTTCCGACATTGTGTTGCAAAGGGGAGGCCTGCCTTCCGAGATCGCATTACCAGGGGGAAGCCTCGAGTCCAAAACCTATGTAGTATAGAGGAGAACCGAACCTTACTACGAACAGTAGCTCTAGTAATGCTCTTTATCACAATTTATTATTATGATCCAGTTTTGGCTCCGAGTTTTGTGAAACACTGGCAACGGTCCACTCTATACCATATACCCAATTATGAGTTTTGGTAAAATATATAATAATATGCTACAACATGCAAGTTTAATTACTCATAATTAATATGCACGTGTGACGAGCGGGCTACGGACATAACTTTTAATTGCTTATTACTTTATTATTATAGTTATAGAGAGATAATTTAAAAACAATGCATGTGCAAATCGAGCATGTGTTGCAGACCTCTACGATCTGGAAGGGTCAATCAACAGTTATCACTGTAATCACTGCCTAGTGCCTAACTCAAGCTGTAGCGCGTGGGCAGCTGTTCTTAACTTTTTAAGATCTTAAACCCTTGGGAAATTCATTCGCCAATAATAAATTATTTGTAGGCCGTGAATGAATGGGAAAAGGGAGCGAGCGATGTTAGTCCGCTAATTAACAATAACAGTGATTATACTTATAAATATCTTAAGTAATAATCTCAATAAATCTGTGTGTGTGTGTGTGTGTGTGAAATCTACAATTAAATTCTACTGAAGGATCACATCACTAATTATACGTCACTAATTGGTGACATGATCTGATCACCGAGGGACCCCTAATAATTGGGGGTCCCCTAAGTCGTGCAGCCCAATCGCGCTCAAGGGGTCTGGCAGGATATGCCAATTGCATATATCTATCATTTCTGATAATAACTTGTCTACTCTTGCTACTTCTTGTTTACTCTGATTTAGTAGAGGCTCTTACGGGCATTGTCTGCTCGATACGTTAGGGACCCCAGATACACCTTACTAGACGTATTTTTGACCGTAGAATCGATTGAAGTGGTTTCAAGATGATTGGACTGATTGTTCTGGGGTAAAA